TCAACACCCTTGCCTCTTTTAGAAGCTGGAACCCCAGCTCTAGGACAACCCTTGCGGACCATGAGATAGATGACTTCGTCGCTATGTCTTCCATGTTCCAGTCTGTGTTCCTGCCCCCTCAGGAAGAATATAGGATAATCTGGTCCCTGGGCTGCCTCTAGATTATTCTCAGTCTTCACTTTTTACCGCAAGCTCCTCATGCCAACCTCCATCCATCACCTCGAATTCCTGGTTCACCTTCATTCCCCTCAAAATACAAGTATTCAGCTGGTTAACTCTTGCGAAAGGGTTTTAACAATTGACCAACTCCAAATCAGGGCTGTGCCCATCCCGAATATATTTGTGACGTGTACAGCCCCAGAAGAGACCAATGCACATCTGTTCGTCCACTTTTTGGTGGTCATGGACCTTTGGGATATTATCCTGCAGCTATTCAAATGGAAAGGGGTGACCCCTCATAGTGTTCCTCATCTTTTCACCTCCCTTTGTCCTTTTCCTTGGGCGAAATCGGTAATCTTGCTTTGGAGGGCTTCTGTAGCTGCCGTGCTGTGGGTCCTTTGGATTGAACAGAACAACAGATGCCAATATTCCATGCTCAAAGCCCTCAAAAACAGGGTTAGGGAGTTCATGATCTTCTGGGCCAAGAACAAAAACTCTTTCAAACATGTCTGCTATTCGGATTTTCACCAAAATTGGCAAGCCCTGCTTCACTTTATCCCCACCTGCATTCCCCGTTCCTCACTTTGGAGGCCCCCTGATGTTGGGCAAACTAAACTCAATTTCGAGTGTTGTTCCTTAGGAAACCCAAGCCCAGCTGGGATCGGGGGCATTCATCGAGACCACGAAAAACGGATTCTTTCCTCATACTCCAAGTTCATCAAACTCACAGATTCCACCTCAGCAGAGGCCCTCGCCCTCTTAGAAAGCCTAAAAAATTTTGACCCCAGGTGGGGCTCAATTTTGGTCGTAGAAGGTGACTCCGGAAATGTTATTGCATGAGCGTCCAGCCTCTCGGATTGCCCTTGGAGGTTAACACATTTTTTAATCTTCCAAAACTGCAGGGATTTGTGCATCCTTGGAAGCATATGTAGCAGGAATCAAGCACATTCGCAGATGAACTAGCTAAATAAGGAACAGCATGATCCCAAGACTCTCAAGGAACTTTTTTTGGCACTTCTGATCTATTGGTCCTCTCATTTTTTGTGTTCTTGTTTACTGTTGTTTAGCTTTGATGACCAGTTACCTCCTTTTGTATAGCATATGCTGAGAGGGTTTTTTGTATACTGCACCTGGATTGTGGGTGGTCGCTTATGTAACTTGTATACCTTTTCATTTTAATACAAAGTCAACAGATTAAAAAAGAAAAAAAGAAGAAGTGTAAAGCTTCACATCTTAGAGGCTTGATTGGTGTCTTGGAGCTAATATGCAGGAGTGATTTGGCGTCTGTGATGTTTGTATGGGAGGACTCATGGACAACCTCGTAGACTTCATGGACTCCTTTAAGGTGAGTCTTATGACCCTGCAAGAAGGCATGGCCTTCGTCAGACATTGTGTAGAATTGTGTAAGGTGCCAAAGACTAGGGTGTTTGATGATGTGAGGGATTCAACAGGGTGGTGGAGAACTTCCTATGGAGAATGGGGCAATATTTCGATACTGCTCATGCCCATGAGGAAGACCTAGTTTTTGCATTTGCACCTCATCGGGAATCAAAATCTCTAGTGATTGATGTGGGTTGAGGACACTTCAAGGCCCAAGGTGAGCACTTGGGGGCCCTTGAAACAATAGTTGAAGGATTAGTTTTTCCCCGACAATGCGGCCTGGGTGGCTTTGTGATGCTGTGCAAATCTTTGATTAATGAGCTCAGTGGGAAAGTATACGAAGAGGTTCACTTCTCACATGTTAGACGTCCAGACCATGATTGATGGCGATCAATTGTTCAATTTCATTTTTGGGCCGTATAGTTGAGCTCAGGTAGAGTTGAAGAGGCAAGGTGTGTGAGACTTGCCCATTGTTGTGACGACAGTTGAGGGCCTAACAGACTACAACCTTTGCAGCACAGTGGAGTTGACCTGTACAGGTGAGCCTTTGTGGTAAATGGCGAGACGCTATTGCGCCACAATGGGGCGAGACCTAAGACGTGGGTGATCAAGGAGAGAGAGGCACCCCGAAGGCCTTATTAGGTTGCTTCATTTGCAAGGATGACCACCAGGTAGGGGTCTGCCAACAAAAGCTGCCCCTTCGTTCAATTTGACTAGTTGGGGAGGATGGGGACCATGCATAGGCTTGCTCCATATACTTGTTGAACGAGATGAAGCTAGTAGAGATTGGTGCACAGGCTTGGTAGTAGATTAAGCCAAAGATAGCTAAGGTGGTCGAGATGGGGGAGTCAAGTGATACCTTGAGTGGGGTCATCATGAGGAAACGTTGGTGGTGAGGGTGGCCTAGTGGCCAAGGTGCACCTTGTTCCATGATGGATGAGACATCCTTGACTAGTGAGGGGTGTGATGGGAGGGAATACCCTCCTCGCCTGAGTGGGGCAAAGAAGAGGATATTTGGCAACTGCTATGACTATTGTGGGTATCTCTTGACTTGTGTTTCGGCTGGAGTGAGGCCTTCCTCTTGAGGGATGCATAAGGTGGAATGCATCATGGTAGTAGCTGCTGATCTGATCACACACTGAGGTGAACACATGGTGGTTGAATTGGACCTGATCATGTGCGCATGAGTATAACGACTTGGTGGCAACATAGAACCTGTCCAAGTGCTGAAAGGACTTTAGCTTGAGGCTTTATCCAAGCATGTGAAAGCCTTAGGCCAACTCGGAGTGTAGATGCCTACTCTGGCTAAGGGGATTCCTCGGTACCTACACTCCTAGACATAGGACTCAGACCTAGTCACCTAATAAAATCTCAAACTTATAAAACACTTTACCTTTGGTATCCCAGGCCCCCCTAAGCCTAATAGACTCATAAAACCCTGTGCCCCAACCTAACAACTAGAAATCCTCGAACTGATCCTTTAGAGTCCATGCACAATAACCCCTCCAAAACTCATCCAAAATTAGGCGAAATTTGATTCTAGATTGTAGTGGAATCATAAGCTTTCAAACGGTCCTAGAATCACTCGATTTTGATCATCATCATCATGATCAGAGCCTTTTCCCAACTATTTGGGGTCGGCCACGTGATTCTTGATCTATCATTCTACTCTATCAAGGGCCATACTCTCAGTGAGGCCATAAGTCCCCATATCTTTTTTCACTACTTCCAACTATTTCCTTTTGGGCCTTACCCTTGCCCTTTTGAGCATTCCATGTTAACCAACTCGTACCTATTAACAACTGTTGTACTAGGTCTACTTTGCAAGTGGCCAACCCACCTAAGTCTACTTTCTCTCATCTTATCGCCTATTGGAGCCACATCTAAGTTCTCCCGAATGTATTCATTTTGAATTATATCACTTCTTTTCTTGCCACTCATCCATTTCAACATCCTCATTTTAGCTAAACTCATCTTATGGGTATTTTTTTCTTGACGGCCCAACATTTTGCCCCATAAAGCAAAGAGCTGTCCTGTAGAACTTCCCATTCAACTTCATTAGTAGCGATGATCACATAAAACTCTGGTTGTACATCTCCACCTTCACCCACCTAGCTCTAATTCTATGTGTGACATCTTCCTCAATCTCTCCATTTTCCTGGTTTATCGACCCAATAAATCAAAAGTGTACTCTTTTGGTATTTCTTGGCCGTCAATCTTAACTTCTTCCTCATCTCTACTCCTATTATTACTTGCATTTCATATATTCTTTTTTAATCCGGCTAATTTTAATACTTTTAGATTCTAGAGCATCCCTCCAAAGTTCTAACTTTGTATTGACGCCACTTCGGGTCTTATCGATCAAACTTGTCGCTCGCGAAAAACATACATTACGGTAGCTTATCTTGTAAATGCCTAGTTAAGTCGTCCATGATTAAGAACCCCTTAACAGCAAACAATTTGCAAGGGACACACAAGCCTTGCATAAGCTCATGCTGCTTTGGCAGGTTTAGCTGTCTAACATGCAGGCTAGTTCTTTAATAACAAACGTATATGACGGTGTAGAGTTTTCTTCGGACTTGACTGGCCTTTAGTGGGCAAGTGGTGCTGATGGATGACTGAGTTGATCGGACTTAGTGGACTACTATGGCCAAATGGTTGATGGGACATGGGCATGGACCATATGCAAGAGGCAGCTGACTAATATATGTGTATTGACCATAGCGATCAAGTCAGGGATTTACCTTTGCAATGAGTAACCACTCCTGGCTTGGATTGTCTAATGGGCATGGGCCATGTAAGAGGGAAATGTATATGTAGTGGGCTATGAGGGCAGTAATAGCCGTGTAATGACCATGCATGTTTGAATTGGCATGGGCCTTACTGACCTTAGCAATGGATTCACCAGACCCTTAAACCTCCTCATGAGCCACATGGGCTGACATTGAAGGGTGGGGCGTGGACTGATGTAATTGCCACTTTGGGTGTTGGGTAGTAATGAGGTGCGAATTTTAATGGCCAATGTAATGAGGATGGGGATGTGCATGTATACATGGTGCTATATGAGCTCACGTGGACCCCTGAGGGACTATACAACCAAGTTTAAGAGTGAGGTGGGTGTCTTGCTTGATTGTTTGCTCCATTCCTCATGTGTGGGTTGGTGGAAGGCTGGCCTGCTAGCCTCACTTTGGCTTCATGTTGTACAGTTTGGCTAAATGAAAAATTCGCAGTCAAGATTGAGCATTTTTAAGGCGACTGAAAAAAAGAAAAAGAAAAAAAAAAGACAAATGTGGTGTGGCTTCACAGTAACCATTTTCTTTTACATATTTCTTTCCTAGATTCATTGTTGAGTATTTTTAAGATTATGTATTTGATGCGTTTAAAGGTTTCTTGATTGATAGTATTAGTTGATTTTGAATTCTCTCAATCTTCTTACCTCTTACATTGCCATACTCTTTCAGGTTTCCACTGTACTACCATATGAAGTTTGCTTTTTTGGTCTGGCTTCAGCTTCCCACTGTTGAGGTTTGTATACCCCATCGCTTGCTTCCTTGTTTTACATATGTCATTTATTGTGCATCATTGAAGATGTGTCGACTGTGTTCTTATTAACATGAGGACGCACTCACAATGCATCAATGTATGTGTATATGCATGTGTGCATGCACATTCTTGCACACACTTAACTCAGGTTGGGAAGAAATTGGAGCCTATAGAAGCTGTGGATATATCATAAAGGAAAACATGATCGAAAGTCAAGTGAATCTACAATCAAGACAAATAAGGTCTTACGCATTGGCAATCCCTTGACATGGGTTGTGGTGCTTTTTTCTAAAAAAATATATTTATTGAGGTTCCTACTTGCAGATTACTGATTCAATCGGGAGATCACCAGTAGGTTTCAATTATGTCTTGTCTAAACTGAGAGGTAGCCTTTGATTGAATTGTCATTTTTTTACTGTCAGATGAGCAGGAATTGAATGCTGGAATGCTGCTGACCCCTTAGGTGCCAGACACAATATGACAATGGGTTCAGTTTTGAGAACATTTGAGTAATTCTTAATGGCTTTCAAAGACTGTAGACATGGTTTGACTGTCTCTGATGCTTTGATACCATCTATTGATGACTCTGAGCCACATTGTAGGGTACCCAAGTGTTGGAGCAGTATATAATGTTTGATTGAAGGCTCTGTACTCATTCAACTTAGTTCATCTGTTAAGTTTTGAGAGGGTTCCACTTGGGCTCTTTTCTTTGATGGTTTTGTTTTGAGTGATTTTTATGTAGAAGGCATTAAGGCCTTGTTCAATTCTACTATGCAATATAATAAAGATTAAGTGATTAATTTTAGTAAGCACATCTAAAATGGAAATATGGAGCCAAAAATATAACGCTATTGTTCCACACAATACTTTCATTTTAAATTACATCTGAGATGAAACCATTTTCCTTTGGATGTTTTGCATGTTATTTTGAGGTTCCCAAACTAATTTTGTTTTCCACCTATTGGTCTTCCTGTATTATCAGGGTGCAAAGCAGTTGTATTTGAAGTACTTGCGTCCATTCCTTTTGAAGTATCAGAGAAGACTAGACCAAATTCTAGTTGTGGTCTCTGGTGAAATGGTAAGGAATTTCTCATTAATCAGTATATCATTTCTTAACAAGAGAATGCAAATCAAACAAAATTTTTCATGACATGTAGGTTTTAACATAGCAGTTTTCAAAGAGGAATTATTTTCATTTAATTTTTTGGTTAAATTTATATATGCATTTCTTTTTAGGAAAAAGTTTATATAAGGTTGCAACCTTAAAATGTAGAATTAAAGATGCACCTCAAAAATCCATATCCATCGGAAAAGGTTGTTTTAATGTTGAAAAACTCTCTAATCGATCATCTCAACCTCAATATGTATGAATATGAATAAAAAAAAAAGATTTTTAGTCCCACAAATATTGCATCTTGCAAAACATTATCTAGACCGTCCATTTTCAAAAAATTTATATGTTTATAGACTATTTTTAACCATTTTTGTAGTTTAAATTTTATAATTAGATGTGAAAATAGATTTTCAGATAATCCTAAGAATTTTTTACACCAAAATTGCATATTATGATAAACTTTGGAGGTGCACCTTAAGTGGATTGTTTGAGGTTGCAACCTTAGAAACGACGCCCTTCTTTTTACATTCTGTGAACTGTTGTAAATTTTAGTTTTTTGAGTTTTGGATGATGTGAAGCATTAAAGTAGTTACTTGATTGAGCAATAAAAGTTAACATACAAGAACACGTTATTCACAAGATTAACATCAAGGAAGTGAATGATTTCATTTATTTTTAGGTAATTCAGGGGGGAAGACAGGCCCCTACCCGTTTTTTTTTCTAAGTAGATTAGGAATTAGATTTTTGAAGTAGTCTACTAAAAAACAAACACGAAGTGAGCTAATGACTTAGTATCCTTTTACTGGTTTCACAGCGCAAATTCATCTCGGCACACCAAGGAGAGATCCAATTTATGGGAGCTATGGTTCAGAAGTCTGTGGGGGCAGGTAAGAATGAATACATGGCATACACTT